GGGGCCTGGGGCGGGGCCTGGGCGGCTCGGAGCCCAGGTTACCTGAGGCTCCTCTGCACGAGCCCGGTCGTCCCGGGCCTGCTGCTCCAGGTGAGCGTGCTTTTGAAGGTCACGAAGGCAAACAGCCATGGAGGCGAGATCTGAACTCTCGGTTCATCCCACCCCTGTTTACAGGTAATTTTCACAACAAGGTGAGGCCGTAATCCTCACTTAGGTGTGAACAGGGACAAGTGTGAAAGGCTCCCTTCCCCTGTTAGCAGAGGAACCAGGCGTGTCATAACCTGCTCAAAAGACAACCGAGAAAGAGATCGGTTTCGAGATCAGGGATATTGAGACGGGTAACTCGTTTTTCCACAGGGTGGGGGTGAGGGAGGTCCCTGGACCTCTGGATACCTGAGTTTGCACCTCGTAAAAAAGACAGGGAGAGGCTAGGTTCACAGAAGAGCAAGGGTGTGCGGTGAGTCCGTGGTGCATAGCTTCCCAGGGCGCGCTGAGGGCCCCCGAGCGCCCACGGCTGGAAGTATCTCAGAGGTGGCATCGCCCCCACATCTTGAGCACAGAGGAGTTCACAGTAAAGGCAACAGAAGGGGGCCTGAGCAGAGAGGAGGACAGGGCCTGCGAGGCCCCGCAGAGCCACCCTTGGGCCGGCCCAGTGTCCCCTCACCCAGCCCCACGGGCTCTGCCACTGGGAGTGTCCCAGCTGCCGCCCCAGCCAGGTCGAGTGGATCTCTGTTCTCGTGGACTTTGAGCTTTACGAGGCCCCAAAGCTTCCATAAACCCGAGCGTGGGAAGATGGGAAGATGACTAAGATTGTGGAATAGGGGCCCTGGCCGTGGAGCCTGAGGACCGGTCACTCAGGAGCAGGGCACAGTGATCCCAGGGACGACTGAGATCGTAAAGGCCCCGGGAGTCTGCGGTGAGGAGGGGAGCTGTGCTCAGGTGAGCTCAGGAGACGTGGAATCCTTGTTTGGTCTGCATGGAACCAGGTGTTCTGAGGGCTCACCTGCAGCTTAGAGGTGCAAATAAATAAATAAACATTTCATCCTTAGAATGAAAACATAGTTCTTAGACATACTTTAAATGGTCCTTGGGTAATGCTCAGTCTCTGGGGAAAAAATAGGTCAGGGTCTCCCTTCTCTGCTCCTCTCTGTAGGTTCGCCTCTGCTCTAAGGAGCAGGGAGGCATGGGTCACCTGTACACCCTCCCAAGGCAGGGAGGAGCTGGGTCTTGTGGCCTCTGCACAGGCCCATTTACTGTCTGCTCAGCCAGCCCCTGTGGCTACTGGTCTCTCCGGGGATCAAGATGAGCCTGGAGGTCCCTATACCTGCCTTGAGCTCACTCTGGTCCCCACTGGGCCTCCAGACCCCCTCTGAGGCCTGGTTGGCCCCCCTAAAACCCTAGTCCTGTAGGGTTAAATTCCAGATAAACAACGGCCTTGGGACATGCTTACACTAAGCAATTATTTCTCATTTATCTGAAATGCACAATGAGCTGGGATCCTGTATTGGCTAAATCTGGCAGCCCTCCCAGTAAATCAACACCTTGACCTTGCTGTGGACCACCCTGCCCTGCTATAGGGCCCTCCAACACCTCCCGGTGGGCTCTCGCCTGTCCTGGGCGAGAAGTGACATGAGAGACTGTGGTTATGCCTGGAAAACAGAGGGGCTTGCCCTCCACTTTTCCTTCCCTGCCTCCTGCTGGCTGCCAGGTGGGTGTGAGGATGTGATGGTGGGAACTACAGCAGCCATTGGAGGCTATTAGGTGGAATCCACATGTGGAGGACACAGAGCAACAACAGAGAAGGGGCCTGGGTCCCCAAAAGCGCAGACCACAGTATTGCCCTGGACTATGTGTGTCCGGACACCTAAGTAAGGAAAATAAACTTTGGTCTGATTTAAGCCAATACTATCTGGGTATTTATTACAGTAGCTGACTCTGACTACGACAAGGATAATTCGGGAATTTAGAAAACTCCAAACAATAGCCTGTCTTTTTTGGAGAAATATTATCAGCTTACTCCTTCTAGGTGCATTCCTCCTGTGATCCCTCTCCCTTTTCCTTCTCTCAGACTGACGCCTCAGAGCCGCTGGGGGCGAGCGAAATCACTTCAAAGACTTCTGAGCTATTGAGTCCTTTTATAGAATTCTCCTAAGTGCTTGGCAAAGGCTTAATGAATGAAAGGACACTGGGCTGGCCTCAGGCTCCGGCACACTCACCTTTACTCCCACTGCAGGCTGTGCCCAGGCACCTGCCCAAACATCCTGCTCAATGACAACCTACCACGGCCTACCTCTGCACCTCCACCTGTGAGCACAGACTCGCTCCACCATGCTGAGTGGCAAACGGCCACAATAAATGGCAGGCCACGATAAATGGCAAACCTGGGGTGCCCTCCCTTGCCAGGTCTCCGTCTTATTACTTTAACTGCACAAATATTACATTCACTTTCTCCTTTGAATTATTCAAAGCACTGCAGATACTGTTAGTTTTTTCTTTAATCTACCTCCCTCTTGGTTTCCTTGCCTCCCCGTCTCTATCCTCAGAGGCCCCTCAGTATCCCCCCAGTACCAGCAGTTTGGCCTGTGTCCTTACGGATGTTTTACAATTCTTTTATGCACATGTATGTACCTGAAACTATGTAACATTATTTGTGTTTTCTAAAAACGGTATCATGTTGTTCAAATTATTCCATGTCTTGCTTTTTTCACCTGGCAATATTATTTTTAAAAAATCAAGCCACATTAATTTATATGGCTCTAATTTGTTTGTATTTACTATTTTTTAATACACCGTCATTTTACCAAATCACAGTCTACTCACCCAGCTACCCACTGGGGACATTTAAATCGCAAGCATTTGTTTGCTTTTATTTTTTTAAATGTTACAATGGACATCTTTGTATAAACTTTCTTGGGTACACGTATGTCTTTTTCAGATAAAAACAGGAGTAGAGTTGCTGACTGTAATCGCTTGTACATTTTAACAGTCAGTACCAAACTGCCACCCAAAGGGGCTCCCCCAGACGGTCTCCCCAGCTCGGGATGAGTACGGGTCACGCCGAAACCTCTCCAGCACCGATGTTATCAAACTTGAAGATTCTGTGCCCACCTGGCAGGTGCACGTAGGCGTCTTGCTGCTGTTTGACCTTGAGGTTGCCCAGCTCTCAGCGTCGTTGGGAAATGACCTATTTCTCCCGTGACGAT